AGCAGCTTTGGGATGTCCCCCACACTGGGACCAGCAAAAGGCTCCCTATTTTCCAAGCCTCCTTGTGAAGACTGCTATAGACATCCTGCCAACAAAATGTTCTTTAGTCTGCACACTACTGGCAAATAAGCCTCTGGGCCTGAAAGCCTAATTTTACAGACTCAATATCAGCTCTTAGAAAGAATATGAAATAGACGGTAAACATTGTAAGAGTGTAATGGTGCTTAATGCTATGCACATAGCTTACCACAATTACCATCCTTTTTTGAAGATGACATGAGCTGACTCGTATGCGGTCTGTTGACTCGCAAGTAAAGCAAAAAGCTCATTTGAATAATGACAATAATGTCTGCAACATAGGCATTTATAGGTGCTACTGGCTCCTGCTGTTATAAAGCGACTTTGTAAACACACTAAAAGTGGTTGTCATGGTGATGACGTGAAGTCTCCACCATCCTTCTCATTCTTTTCTGTGAGTCAGCTGGAGTTCACCATTACAAGTACCCTCATTAAACCTGGCAATCTTCGAAGGATATCCAAAGCCTTGTGATTCCCAACACAGGCATTGCTATTTTAGCCACTGACCTGTGTTGATTATTAAACAAGGCGAATGAAGGTACGAGGCTCCTGAGCATGCAGCAGGACATTCGATTATATTGATCTGGGCTTGTCGCTATGGAGTTGGTTTACATAGAGGCTCCCTGTGGTTTATGACAGAGGCTCACGGAGCGATATGTCAAAATGCTGGAAAGGTTCTCTCGACCGTTCATAACTGTGCACTCAGGTCCTTCTCTAAATAAACAGTGTGTGCAAATATGTAATATACAGGAGCTTATTTATATTTGTCTTGGTCAACAGAAGAATAAAAGGCAATAAAATCCAAGCATCCATCTCACATGACATGTGCTGCAGCAGCCCTGCTCCAAATCCGTGAAAGACTATTAGTGCGTGCTGTCATTCATTTAAGGGTGTTTCTGCAACTACGGGCACTTTTGACTATCCCAATTTAAAAAAAAATCAACCTCTATGAATTTCAATTTTAACCATCACAGTCTGTAATACATATAAAAATGTACACAAAATACAATGTAGTCGTTAAGATTTTAATCTGGAACATGTTTATTTTTTATGTTTTTCGGGTCATCTTCTTAAAAGTGTCCTTACCGCAACTTTACAATAACGTTCATTTTATACATTTTTCTTTAGTAATTTCTATAAAAAATTATATATTTAAATAGCTTTTTCAAATTTGATACAGTTTTGTAAATACTGATATAATAAAATAATATACAAAATAGGGAATTTCATGTTTTTTTCTATTCCAGGAAAAAAATGTACAGTAACCTTAGATGTCAATTGTTTCCATACACACAAAATATGAGATATTTAACTTTTTATGACAGATGTTGCAATTTCAATGTGTTAATCATCTCAGCTTAAGTGTAAAAATATTTTTTTGCCAATGAAAATGTGAAAAAAAATGAAAATAGAGCAGTGCTGCGGTAATGACATCTTGTGTCGGTAAGGACACAATGTTAAACTGCCACGAAATCAAAAACAGGCTACTGTAAAAAAAAAAAGAAAAAAAAAAGAAACATGGTACAGAAAACAAAAGGTATTGCATGTGTAAAATATAGTAGCAGTTTTGCAGTAAATAACTATTTTAATTAACTCTTACTCTTTCAACTGCTTCAAAAATATTGTCTCCTAAAGTTGATGATTCATGTTTATATATATACTAATATATGCTTCAGTACTAATAATATACTGAATATTGGTAATTTAATATACAGTAAACCTTAAATTTGTCTTTACCGCAACACAAGGTCTTTACCGCAACACCTAAATTTGCTGCGGTAAAGACATGTTGCGGAAATGGCATTTTTGCTAATATTTTAGCTAATTGGCAGCTAGCAAGGCCTACCACATTAGTTTTGACTCATAGCATCTTAATATACATGAATTCAACAGTAATATACATTTATTTTTAAAATGTAGTTCAAAATACACAATTATTAAGCTGAATGGTAAGGACGCACAATAAATACTAGAGCAGAAAAGTATATTTTTTGGTATCTTGTGAGTGAGGTAGTGTGGTGGCCCAGTCTGTCAGCAATGTGCTCAAGTGATAATTTCTGTTTCCATAGAAACTAGTCTTGTTTGGGTTCGATAAAACTTCATAATAAAAGCTTTTTTTTATTGTTGCTGTAAGGACTCAAAAGTGTGGGACAGGCACATTTAGTTAAAAAAATCATAAAAATGATCAGTAAATAATACACAGAATTTTAAGGTGCTGTAAATGAATCTGTATATTAAACAATTCCATTTGAAATAATGTCAAATTGTAATTAAATTAGCTTATTTTATGTATCTCAACATTGAGACCACAGATGTGGGACATTAACAAAAATGGTGTTTTGAGCTATAAATGCTTCATAATATTATATTTAATCACATTAATCAGTAATTATGTTTTTTGTCAAGGTGTGTAATGGCACTGTGGATCTATTTATGAAACATCAAATGACAAATTTTTACATAAATCAAAAATTTCACTGCTGGGACTTAAAAGTGCCCGTAGTTGCAGAAACACCCTTAAATGTCTTTCTGATGAGTACTTTCCTCTGTCCATTCATGTATTATGTTTCAGTCTATCTAACTTCCCAGCTGTTATGAGCTATGTTCAAGAGATAGGTCACCCCAAAATGAACACTTTCATCATATACTCACCCTCAAGTTGTTCTAAACTTGTATGAACTTCTTTCTTTTGCCGGACACAAAAGAAGATATTTTGAAGAACGCCAGTGACCAAACATTTAATTGGAAAATTGAATTGGAATTATGGAAAAGTACATTTTTTTTAAGATTGTTTCTCCCTGTTTACATAAATGCTCTGGCTTACATTATAATTTTTTTTTTTTTTATCATAACACAAACGTCCTGTCAGCGTTCCCTCTGGAATGTTTGTATTCATATTGTTAATGTACCACAATTGTCCCACTAAGTGAACTACAGTCCCACAAAAGTTTTCAAACTTATTTTTTAGACTATAGACAAAATATATGACTATAGTCAAATAGTCGGTTACTGTGTAAAGATGCAAAAGGTATATGATTGGACAAAAGATATATCTATCTATCTATCTGAGAGGATTTTTTTCCCAAATGTTCTTCATAATCCTCCATCTTTAGTGTTTAATTTTGGATGACTGAAAGAATGAATGAATGCATATGTCTAAAAGAATTCAAGAGAACAAATAGAGTGTCTTCCAGCAAAGGAATGCATTGACCAGGACCATCTGCTGTCTCCTCCATAGCCTGCGTATGTCTCCGGTCTGGCAGAGAGAGACAGAGTATTCCTCTGAATTATTACAAGCAGTAAGAGAGTCCCTCGGATACTGTTTTTTAAAAACTGGAAATTAGTTTGGAAGCATCCCTTTTCTGTCTTTGTCTTCTGGAAAGGGCAGTTGTACTTTACATGTGGAAAACACCTTTTGCATGAAACAGGAAACTTTTGTTATAACTGAGAGGGGCAGAGTAATGTTTTTCCAAGATTCTTAGCCTGTTATGCATGCAAATGCTTGTACTTCCAGTGAGTGCAATGATAAACTTCAACATGGAAATCTTTTCTTAAATCTAGACTTTCCACATATAGCGGTGACTCTGGCTTTAGTGAAACCATGATAACAAAGCAGGCTGTTTTACCTTCTGTGTTTAGAAGTACAGTAAGATCTATTTTCACTGTAGTTAAAACAGAGGGAAGTACTTTTGTGTGTTTTGAGGAACCGATGAAATGTCATGATAGTGTCACTTGTGTGGGTGGAATGCACCAAAACGGAACCATGAACTGAAAGTGCGAAAGGTATCCACATTAAAGTTGCATGAAACAACATTTAAAGTCTTCTGTCATTGCAGCATTATAAGTGACAGTTAAAAGTTGCAAAAACAGTGTTGCAATCTTGGTAATTGGTAATTGCAAAGTGCTTCATATATATATATATATATATATATATATATATATATATATATATATATTGCCAGCCTTTTTTACATTCTAGCTGGAAAGTGCTGGAATAAAAAAATGCATTTTATTTTGTAATATTGTAATATTAGAATTTATATTTAAATAGATGATAATTAAAAAATTTGTTTGGCCTGTAGCTCTTTCACTCATTAACACGGACACACACACACTTCAGAGTTAAAGAGAGGGCTCTTTGTTTTCTGTTCTGTGTATTTTTTTCTGCTTATCTGCTTTCTCTCTTCCTCTTGATTCAACTTCCTCTGAAGAGAGAATTTGTTCCTGTCTCTGTGAGACTGACACTCTCCAGGTGGTCCAGAATTGTCAGTAATATACTGTACTACATGATACCTGGCAGTTATAAATAAAAGCATGTTTATGATATTTTGACCACTGATATTTGCATATTTTTGATTGCATCTATGAAACACAAAGAAGTAAAAGCATATTTTGCATAATTATATGGTATGTGTGTGTACACAGGACTGCTGGCAGGCACAGGCCTAGTTCCTGTTCTCTGTCTCCTAGTTGTCCATCTGTTTCCTCAGGCCAGACAGTGTCTCTCCACTCACATTCACATCTCCTTTTTGGAGCCTGCACTAACCCAACTCTTGCACCATCACCAAAGGTGTTCAGTTAGCACACACCACAGTTTCTGTGCTTTATATCTTCGCACTGTCATTTCACACAATCTGTGACAGGATATCAGCTGTGGTTTAATCTAGCACCAGCTAGTTTGAAACTAGTTGCCAGTAGCTTGTTTGTCCATGCAAATTTGATGTGGGACACACATTCAATTGAAAACCTTTTATTTTAACTATAGAGTATTCCTCTCAAATCAAAATATACCATAATGAGGCACTATTCAGAGTCTCCATTCAAATATGTCTTTCATGATTAGTTTATTATGTGTGTGAAGCTGACAGACATCAAAACAAAACTGTTAATATAATCTGAGGGAAAATTGCAGGAATGCAATGACATTTTTTAATATCACAAATTATCAAGAACTTGAGTATAAAGGTTGATTTTGTGCTTCCTCCCAAACGTTTTGTAGTTAAATACTGGGAATTGCCATCAGTGGCTGTTTTGTATTATGGGAACAGACGTTGTTGTTAAATTATTACTTACACGCAAATATGCACAAAACGTCTGCTCAGCGATTGACGGTCCCTAATTTTTTTCTTTACATAAAACATTGTGCACAAAACACATTCGTGGTGCGTAACGACTGGAAAGGTGAGTGTCCGAGAAACGTGTTTGAATAACAGTTGCAAAAGGTGAGTCCACTTCAATCCCTGCTAAAAACGTACTCGGTGTAACTCGTCCAGATTTTGTCCTCGTTGGGGTCGTTACTCGCGTACGCGCAGGTGCCCGTGGAGCTACAAGCAACCATGTGGAAGCCCATCTCCGCCAGCCTGTCAAAGGCTTGCTCCAGGAAATTATACTTCAGGTAATACCGAGACGTGTATCTCTCTGGGAGTCTGTCGGGGTCTCTGCTCTCGTTCAGAGTCTCCCCAAAAACTTCTTTGGCGAGAGACGTTTTGCCGCACACGGTGATTCTCGCGACCCTTCGAAATTTGGCGTCCTGTTGGATGTCTCGTCCTATGGTGTAGGAGCCCCTGTACCCGATGGTTATGTAGCCGGTTTTCTTCACGTCCAGAGACGGGGATCGAGGTCCGGTGCTGGAGATACTGGTGCCGGCGTGCGCAGCCTCCTCCGGGTCGCTTTGGCACACCTCCTCGCTGATAGAGTTATCCTTACTGACCGCCGGTCTCAGGCGTCTCGCCAGCTCTTGAAGTTGAAAATATTCCGCCTCTTTAAGAAGGCTCGCCTTCTCTTTGAAGTAATCGGGCAAAACCAGAGTCTGGTCTCGCAAGTAATCCAAAATATATCTGAACAAAAAGCCGTCCCTGTCCAAAAAGTAGCGTCCTTTGCTGTCGGTGGTAAGTTCCGTGGGTTTTTTCTGACTGAACATGGTCCAGAGCAAAGAATTGGGCACGGAGAGTAAAGTTGAGTGGCGCGTAACGTAAACTTGCCCTCCGACATTGAGCTCAATAATTTCGGAGAATCGCTGTGAAGCGTCCGCGCGACTTGTATCCATCTCTGCACAACTGCGCGAGACCTCCGGTGCAATCACGGGACTGGAGAAGAGTGGAAAGAAATATTTCAGCTTTGTTTATGTAGGCAAAACACGGTTACGTAGGAGGAGGAATCTGACGGCTGTATTAACTCTTTACTACCACCCTGTGAGAAAATAAATTAAAATATTAATAATAGAGCCTAATAGTAGCCTAATAATAACGATAACAACAACAACAACAACAACAATAATAATATACTAATAATAAATGAAACCCTGTGATTTGCTTAACAAGTCAAAAGCGTCCATGAGTGGTAGAAATGTTCTATTCTTATTCTTATTATTTTGTATTTGCTTTGTGATAAGACATTCTTTTAGAGGACTTTCAGAATGTTTCCTTTTTACACACAAAACTGTTATTCAGTATGATTTGAGGAGGTTCCAGAGATCAGGAAGTTTACTGTAGGCCTACTAATGGAAGCAAGGATTCAGCGTCACAAATTTGTTCCTCTGATTAGTGACAAAGAAATAGTGCAGAATCTGAAATTCCTAAAATGTCCTCGTAACAGTGACATTATACAGTTAAGCACTGAGAAATATTAACATTACTTATTATTATAAGGTTATGATTAGGGCTAGTTGCATGTAGTTATGCATAATTTAGGCTACTGTTGACACTAGCCAACATGTACAGTAAGTAGGCTATAACAAGGACACTGTTATAAGTGTTGCCATAATTGCCATCATTTATAGTGTAGCCTACTTAATACGCACATAGGTGCCTTAATGTGAACAGCTTTGGAATTTTTATCTTCCGAAAATGAGTTGGCATTTCCATCAAACATTCACTACATCTATAACTATAATATCCAGTAAAAATGCCCAATTGAACATCAAAACATTTTCTTTGCCGAGTGGTTTTCTGATCCATGTCAGCAATATGCCTATTACTTACTAACTTTTAGTTAATTATGCTGTTCTAAAGATAAATTTTAAAAAAGAAGAACATATAGTTTAAAAAATTAAATAAATAAATAATAATGATAACAATAAATGGGGTAAGACCACATATGTGCCACAGAAGAAAACACTCCTTGCATATACATACACACAATGAGGCAATATTCTATTTCCTTTAACTCTTCATTTATTATTAACCAAACAGATTGCAACTTGGTTAATAATTTTGCTGTTTATGCAAAACTTCTAGATAGTGGGAACAGGCAGATCAATGTCTATAACAACAGTGCTTTCTATAGCGACATCCAGTGGCCAAGAAAAAGAAGCAGTTCATTGTGCAAACTACTTGAAGTTACTGAATTAAGCACAGCGTTGAATTCTTGTTCAGTAATAGACATTTTGTAATAATAAGTTACAAATATATAATTAAAAAAAATGCAAAAACAAAGCTGTTTAACAAAGTTACACCTCTGAAAAGTTACTTCTAACAGTCAGTATAAGACCATAAATGTAAGACCTAAGTAATAAATAAATAAACAATGAAACAAGATAAGAACTGTTCAACAGTGTTCACATGGTGCACACCCAGCCGGATCAGTAATGGGAGCTCCCTTTAAAAAAAAAAGGGGGGGGGGGGGAGAAATTAAATTTCCTTTGGGCACTGCAGCATAAACAATGCACAGCTTGTCCTTAATAGACTATTTTATTGGACTCTTGATTCTCCATCCGCATTAACTTCAGTATTGACTTTAAAATAATTCTATCAGGTATTTAGATTACTATTAGGCTACTATTGTTGTAGAATAAATCTTCATTTTTAGCTCACATCTGAGATTTTGAAATTTCATAAAGGCAAATGTAAGTGTGCGAAAGCTAGAGAATAATAAGCTACAAGACACGTATGTAGACTACATCATATTTTGAAATGAAAATAAATAATTTTAAAATGTTTTCTTAAATTTAAAAAAAAAAAGTCTACACAGATGCATCCCGTAGGCCCAGTCTCACAGACAGGGATTAGGCCTTAGTTCAATTAGGGCATTTAAGTAGCTTTTATAAATGTGCCTTAGAAAAAAAGAAACACTACTGGTGTGCATATTGAGACAAAACAATGACAGTGGCATATTTTAATATATGGCAGTGCAAGCTGCTTTCAGTTAAACCAGCACACACATGCATTTTAGTCTGAGACTATAGGCTTAAGCCTATGGGGCGCCGTTTGTAAAGCGGCTCATGCTGAAAATAACAGCAACATTTTGTCACATTTAGCTTCAAACAATGTTTAAAAAACATTTTAAAAAATGGATTTTTGACGGTCACTTTTTAGCACATTTACAACAATATTTGTCAACTTAGAGATATTTTAAATAGTTAAATCTAAATATGAAATGTTATACCTAAATGTTAAATCTAAATGCTAAATCTAAATGTTAAATCTAAATGTTAAATCTAAATATTAACCCTCTGGGGACCAGGGTGTTTTGGGGCCCTTGGGATGTTTTGACATGCACTGACATTTGTGCTTTTTTCAGTTATTTATAAACATGTTAATGGCAAAGGTGTAAATTCACTCTATATAGCACAAACGGGGCTACCATGATATGTGAGCAACATGTATGTACATGTTTGTATTTTTAAGAGAATAATGTTTATGCGTGGTTATTGAAAAAAATAAAAATGAAAGTTGCTGAAATAAGACCACAAAACACATATTGATTATTTCTTCACAAGACTTTTGAAAATTGTATCACATAGTCTAGAATATTTGCTCCAAAACTATGTGAGAATCATCCTGACTACTCATTCAGATAAGTCAATAAAGTCTTTTACATTTTTAATGACGTGTTTTGTTTGAGAAAGCTTTATGCGAGGAGGCGTGATCTCTCATTAATATGTGTGGCATTCCACACCTGAGAAAGACAAAGACCCTCCCATAATGGCCCTATTAGGTGCTATCAGGCCATATCATTATCAGGAGCCTTGCACAAAGAATGAGGAGATTTAAAAAAGAATGGCTTTTAGATTGTTTGGATTTATTTACAACACACACACACACACACACACACACACACACACACACACACACACACACACACACACACACACACACACACACACACACACACACACACACACACACACACACACACACACACACACACACACACACACACACACACACACACACACACACACACACACACACACACTGCTTAGAATAAGTTAACACACCCATGCTAAAGTTGACAAAAAAGAGGAATAAAAAAATCTTAATGCCTTAATTAAAAAAATGAGGAAAACTCCAACCTTTAGGGACATGAATAATGTCCTTGAATTCTTTGTGAATGAATAATGTATCGCAAAAAAATTTAATGTTCTTCTTTAAAATACAGGGTGCATACGTCTGGACACTTCTATTACACACCCTTCACCATATAGACATGGTTTTATTTCAGTTCAAAGTTCAAAGTTAAAGTTGGAAACATCTTGAAAAGAAAATTGTCTTTTTCCATAAATGTCTTAGTTTGATCATACATATTTCAAAGTTGAGGATTCATTATTTTGATATAGCTTGCATTGGAACAAACACTTTAACATCTTAGTTGATTAGTTTATTGACAAAACATTCTATATATTTAACATATGAGCAGAAACTCCTAACAAAAGCTTATTTGATGTCTATTTTAGAGTAAAAACTTTATCCAAAACTAGTCGAAATGTTGTCTTTTATTTAGTCTGTAACAGTGTGTATCTGTGCGTTCATTCATTCATTCATTAATTCATTCACACACACACACACAAACATGATTCACATTTAAAAAGTATGCTATTTTTCCGTTTACAGACACTAACGTAATTCTATATCGCGATTAGAACAAAGCACTTGCATAAAACACTTAGGCCTACTTCTCAGCTGAATCTGTTGCTCATCCTCGAAGTGAAAATAAACCAGCACTTGTTCTGTGGTTAATGTCTCAGGATTGTTCCTCATATAGCCGCGCAAGACGACAGTAGATTAATCTGACTAAAAAATATAGTGTTTTCAGAGTTTATGGGCGTTAACGCGTCTCAATGTGTTGCTTCACATATTTGCGTTTGAATAGCGCGTGCTCTCCGTGGGCGTGTCACATTACCAGAGATAATGAGCTGAGAGAAAGATAATTAGAACGGCTGACACGTCTCTCTTTTTATATAGATGACATAAACGGAGAATATTTATTTTAGTTTTGAATCGGATCATTTAAAAGTACAAACTCAAATGATTTAAAAGATATATTGCTTATGGCTGGGTGAATAGTATTAGCTGAGTTGTGTTGAAGATTAGAGACGTGCTCCAGAAAAAAAGTTCACGGTGACGGAGAGGCAGAACGCACACCCTGTTTATTTTCTTTATTTTACAAAAGCACAATATTTTATTTCGATTGTATGTGGGCACATAAAAAAGTAGACATTTAACAGATTATTTTCTCATATTTCTTAACTCTATATGAACAGAAATTATGGTAGTACTTTAAGTCTATTTTTCTGCTATGTGAAAAAAAAAACGAGCAAAATGCGCCGGCGCGTTTCCGGTCCCCAGAGGGTTAAATCTAAATCTAAATGTTGAATCTAAATGTTAAATCTAAATCTAAATCTAAATGTTGAATCTAAATGTTTTGGGTGAAACTAAATATTTAACTAATATGCAAATTTAAATGCCGGTAACCGGAAGTGCCCAAATAAAAGCTTGAGGAGGTGTGTCAAATAACGAATAAAAACCATCTCATCCGGGTAAATGGACTCTTGGACATGGATTATCGTGATAATAACTACCTAAAATAATAAACACGTTTGGAGAAACTGTATTTGAAGAGTAGGCTACTTTGAGTTTTTTAGTGTCACTTTTATGAAAGGTGAACTGTAGCCATAATCGCTAGCCACGAGGGGGCTCACTTTGACTGATCTGTCATGTTCGCTTGCATAAAACGTGTATAATAATAACAAACGTGTTTGTTATTTTAGGTAGGCTAGTTATTATCACGACAATCCATGTCCAAGAGTCCATTCCCGGATGAGATGGTTTTTATTCGTTATTTGACACTATAAACAACACACACTGACCTCCTCGAGCTTTTATTTTGGCACTTCCTG